TGTGTGCAGTATTTGGGTATCTTAACGATCCCAATATGTTGCGGTATCTGTCAGATACTGCAACATTTTGCCATCTTAAGATTCCCAAATGTTACACAAGTCTCTCATTCTTCAACTTGCTAGTTTTCTAAAGAGTTAAATTACTACGCTTGAAGGTGTATCTGCGGTAACTAACCGAAGACATTATTTCCATACTACTGTTTGGTTCTATTGAAGAGAAAGTCACGATACATATGCTGAAACAATTCATAAGTAATGCGCAAAATATAGCAAAACTGATAATGGTTTAGAATGGACCGAATTCTTACAATACTGGAATGAAAGATGGAGCAGAGGCAATGTGAAGAACCTATTGCTAGGGAATACGTTGGTTGATTCCTTGGTTTCAGTGGTTCAGATTGCGGGAATACTTCAAATGTTACCTTTATATGCAAGGAAGAAACCAGGATGTACGTGTTAATCTTTGATCCATTATCCCTGACATGTATACCAGGTTGTGTATGTTCCAACAAGGGAAATGGAAAGATATTAATGTATGAACCTACATCCCTGGCATTTGTACCAGGATAAGTATAGTAAGCGCAAATCTATAATGGAATATCGGTGCGTCTGGAGAGTAGTGGATACATTAGAGAGATGCAACACGGATTTAGCGTCGGTAAATGCTGTTCCATTAACCTTTTTTTTTTTCACAACACTGGTCGTAAGGGAAGTAATGCGAGACAGAGATGGGTGGGCTGGAAATTCTGGTTAAGTAGGCAGTGATCAAGAAGACGTGTTCCATGAGATCAAAAGCAAGGATCAGGTGCTGGTATTAAAGAATGAGCATCACAAGCACACGTCTGATATCGTTGCAACAACACACACACACACACACACACGAAACGAGGTTTAGCAAAACAACGAAATACTTTTATAAATTTTACTAGCAAAACCATGTTATATACATAATTAATATTGTATAATCCATAATGAATTGCCATTGGGCTTAAAACAATGGTACTCTACAGCGTTATTGACAACAATAGACAGTTTATATAATTTGTTTATTTATGTTTATTTAATAATTTCGTTTATAATTTTTTGAATTGTCCCACTCGTCAATATATTTCCTTTAATATCCTGGAAATAAACACTTTGAAATTGTAACAGAAATGTCGACAAAAATACAACCGTGTTTACATACGAGTGTGTATATATATATTTGTATCGTATGCTTGTATGTGTGGGTATGTGAATGTATGAAAGTGTGTGTGTGTGTGTGTGTGTGTGTGTGTGTGTGTGTGTGTGTGTTGTGTGTGTTTGATGTGTTTGATCTGGAAAACACTGACTGACACCAAACATTGATCTCATGTCTTCGTTGCAACATTCAAAATCTGTGTACATGTACCTACGTACACACTGATATGCGAGCGCATATATTCGTATGTAAGGTAAAGTGTACACGTGATGCACATATACATAAACGAATATATGCGAAAATATACTTATATATATATATTTAGCAGCAATGTCCTCTCGAGTACGACCAATGAATGATTTCCAGATAAATATTTACCATAATCAACCTTTAAACACCAGTCCCCGCACCTGCCTCCTTCCTCATGCCTTTAACACAAACAATTCTATATCGTCCTAATTTTATTTTTTTCCTTTATTTTCCCTGATTTTTTATTTATTTTTCAGAGGTTTAATGATCGAATTAGAAAACAAATCGTTGAAAAACGTGATGCTTCATTTTGAGAAATAACACCTCCCAGGGTCATGTATGAGGTCACAAAGTACGCAATAAAAAGGGCACATCAAAGCTCTCAGGTGAGAGTTTTGATGTCCTGATACAGCGTATTATCAACAATATGCTGTCTAAATAACAGCCTCTTCTCCATACTGTGCCTTTGTAACCAGGGCATGACGCCTGCACATCCATCTTGCAGGATTAGTAGTCCAATAATTTAAAAATGTGCCGTACAGCGCTAAATTAGTGAAAAAATAAAAGAAAATGTGGAGAAATGACTGCTTTTGCAATCACTTCACACACACACACACACACACACACACACACACACACACACACACACACACACACACATACACACATACTGTAACTTGCACTTATTGAAACAGTAGGACATAACATATACTAAAAGCTATTCTAAGTGCAAGACTTCTAAGGCGAATATACAATGAGGTTAACTCTCCTCCTGTATTACCTGACCTACAAAACATGCCAGCTGTCTGTTAGTAAATAAATGGGCTGTGGATGCATTTATTAATGGCAACAATTGGAACACGAAAGGGTGAAACGTTGTCTTCAATAAAGGTATTTACTGCAGCTCTGTCATTTACTCCACCTTAACGATATTTACAAATTCTTGTACATCCACCTGGCATGTTCCACTGGAGCCAGTCAGGTACTGGGATACAGAAACAAACAGGAACTCCCAAAATATCTACAGGCCAAGAGACTTCGTTGATTGCATGCGCTTCGGCCAAATAGTCAAAACTTCCACGAATCCTATTTTGTCCTTTAAACCTAAGGCTATCGACTGCAGGTTTGGTCAGTAAGACTTCATATTGCCTTCACATTACCAAGAATATGTAATAAATTCAGTCATCAAAGAGCATGAACGCTAAGGTACATACACTTCTCGGTGTATATGGTGTTGATGAATGATGTAGTTTATTCAGCCAGGTGCAGTAGAGATTGTTTGGGCATCGCGGTACTGGTAGGGAGAGATGTGACAAGACTTCACTAACAAGCGATCGTTACTGTGTCTGCCTGGATCACGAGCCTTTAATTTCGTGGGTGTTGAGACGGTTACTAAGCACCAGCGGAGGCAATTAAGAGACGTAGGTGGATATAGACGTCAGGTATCATATGACATAATTAGCAGATGCTTCTGGATACTGCTGTTAAGTAATATGCGATGTAATTAAAGGAGTGTTAGTATTTCCTGGTATCAGTAGTCTTCATTAGCAGGTGCTGATTCTGCCCTAAGAGGCGTGTGAGCGTTTGAAGGGATTGCCAGGAGTCAGGAGGTTAATTGACAGGTGTTTGAGTAGTTATTGCTTGGCAGATGTCATCCTTTGAAGGATAATTAGGCCTCTCATTCTCAGGTGATATGTTGCCTCCAGGCAACTCTGTTATAATGGTATGATGATCATTGGCAGCCGAAGACACTTCATGGATGGTTCGTTATCTCTACCTGTCTGTTTGTCTCTTTCTCTCTCTCTCTCTCTCTCTCTCTCTCTCTCTCTCTCTCTCTCTCTCTCTCTCTCTCTCTCTCTCTCTCTCTCTGAGGCTTCCTTTGACAGTAATAATCCTCCATCGAGATGAGATGGTGTGTGTATATATATATATATATATATATATATATATATATATATATATATATATATAAACACTGATCTCTGGCTGAAGGAGACTCGAACCTACGAACCTTAGGACAAGGTACGCAGTGCTTTACCAATCTACCCACACTGGACAATACCTTGGCGTGTAGCTTGCGCTACACGTTTGATCCAAGGCAGCCAGCTTTCAGGGAGAAGGCTTACAGCTTTTCATCTCATCCCCTGCATGCATCAGCCTTACTAGATATTTTAACAATGCAAGGAATTCGCGAGAGCAGGCGAAATATACACAAACACTGATCTCTGGCTGAAGGAGACTCGAACCTACGAACCTAAGGTTCGTAGGTTCGAGTCTCCTTCAGCCAGATATCAGTGTTTGTGTATATTTCGCCTGCTCTCGCGAATTCCTTGTGTATATATATATATATATATAAAATATATATATATATATATATATATATATATATATATATATATATTATATATATACTACATATATATATATATATATATATACTACATTATATATATATATATATATATATATATATATATATATATATGTAGTATATATATATATTATATATATATATATATATATATATATATATATATATATATATTATGTATATATATATATATATATATATATATATATATATATATATATATATATATATATATATATATGTAGTATATATATATATATATATATATATATATATATATATATATATATATATATATATATATATATATATTATATATATATATATATATATATATACAAGGAATTCGCGAGAGCAGGCGAAATACACACAAACACTGATCTCTGGCTGAAGGAGTCTCCTTCAGCCAGAGATCAGTGTTTGTGTATATTTCGCCTGCTCTCGCGAATTCCTTGCATTGTTAAAATCTCTAGTAAGGCTGATGCATGCAGGGGATGAGATGAAAAGCTGTAAGCCTTCTCCCTGAAAGCTGGCTGCCTTGGATCAAACGTGTAGCGCAAGCTACACGCCAAGGTATTGTCTAGTGTGGGTTAGATTGGTAAAGCACTGCGTCCCTTGTCCTAAGGTTCGTAGGTTCGAGTCTCCTTCAGCCAGAGATCAGTGTTTACATATATATATATATATATATATATATATATATATATATATATATATATATATTATATATATATATATATATATATATATATATATATATGTCGTGTCGAATAGGCAGAACTTGCGATCTTGGCTTAAATA